GCGAAACCCGCCCGTGAGGAGCGGCTCCGGACTCCGGGTTCGTCTGGTTTGGAGAGAAGGAGGCTGAGGGGCGACCTCGCTGCTCTCCACAGCTTCCCGAGGAGGGGACGTGGAGCGGGAGGTGCCGGTCTCTTCTCCCCGGGATCCAGTGCCTGGACGCGTGGGAATGGCTCAAAGCTGCACCAGGGGAGGTTTTGACTGGACACGAAGCATTTCTTCACCGAGAGGATGGTCAAATTCTGGCACAGGCCTCCGAGAGTGGTGGTCGATGCCCCAAGCCTGTCAGTGTTTTAAGAGGCATCTGGACAATGACCTTAACACCACGCGTTAACTTTGGGTCAGCCGTGAAGTGCTCAGGCACTTGGACTAGATGATCGTTGCGGGTCCCTTCCGACTGAAATAGTCTATTCTACTCTATTCTATCCTATTCTAAACCCAAACCAACCCAAGATAAGTCAATTGGGAGTGAATGGAGGGTGTTTTCTCAATCGGGTTGGGGTGAGGGATGCTGAGGCCCCGCAGGCAACGCGTGCAGACACACCTCAAGGATCTGCTGTAATCCAGGATTTGCGCCCAGCTGGCGCATTAGAAATGACAAAGATCCATTCTCACTTAGCTCTAGAAAAGGATCGAGCCATCTGCCAGGCCAGTCTCTGAGTCAGCTGCCTTAGCCGGCTCAAAGCTAGCAAACTGCAGTTCTCTAGTAGCCACTTTGGGCTAAAAATAAAGCGAAGGAACGCTGAGCTGTATTCATGGAACTAAAAAATTGCTGATTGTCCATAAAGTGCGAAAAATGTGTGCGGGAACTTAGGAAACTGCAAAACATGAGGAAGTAGAAAGGAGGTAGAATCCAGATGGTACCATGCAGAAGTAAGTAGAAGCAGTAAACAGAATGCAAAACAGAGCCACAGTGAAAAATGTTGGTTTCAGAAGCTGTGGAGGAATTGCCTCCCTTTTTAAGCACAGATGATGACTTGGCCAGTAGGGCAGTGGAATTGGGTTGCGGAAACTCAGGGGTAGCTGCTGGCCAAGCTGCACAGCTGTCTGAGCTTGGACTGGATATTACCCTGTGTGTGTGTTTCAAATTCCCAGCTGTAAAATGGTAATTCCACATGGCTATTTGTAAAAATAAATTGTAATTCTGAGAAACTTACACATTCAGGTGGGGAAGAACAGGTAGTAAGGTGGGGAAGGCTATAGATTTATTCACAGTTCTGCTGGATTTCTTACTACAGTCTGGCGAAAATCAGCTAGGGAATTTCTGTTTCATTCCCAGGGAGTGTTCCAAAATTCCTACACGAAAAGCATTACACAAATGCAAAATACTAAATATGTCTGAAAGCAATAGTGCGCATGAAGTGTGTGGCAGCGTTTCAAAGATTTTCATATCCCTTTGGTGCTTTTTTTTTTCCTCTCCATGCTGCTCTCTTTATGAATACGTGTATTGTCAGGAACCCTTGCATTGTGTCAGACCCTTTGCTTGGGATGTGATTAAAAGCCTCTCTACTTTTTGCAGATTTCACCAACAGAAATATTAGAAAACTGGACAGATGCAGAATCACAAGGAAAAAGAGGAAGGAAATGCCCACCTGTTTTTAAAGTTGACAAGGTGGAAACTCAACAAGACCAGAGCTACACCAAACTGGCATCTTGACCTAATATCAGAATGACCCACATTGGTTTAGGAGGAGGGAAAAACCAAGCTATTTTGTCTAGCGTATATGCCAAAATGAAAAGCATCAGCAAAAATCTGCCCCAAATCTTCCAGCAGAATGTCAAAACCAGAAGAATAAGGTTGGGAGCAGAGACGGTGGATTAAGAGCTCCCCCATCAGTGGGCTTCTGTAGACAATCTTCCTGCTTCCCGCATCTTGGGCATGCAAGTAAACAGGCTGTAAACTTCAGCAGTAGCCAAGGTGTGCATACCACAGTGAGATTTTTAAGCTACAAAAGGGGACGCTAGGGAGAACCGAAAGGAGATATCCCTGGTGTCTCTTAAGTTTACTTAAATGAGTTCAAGGCGTTGTTCCTGACAGGGGCCCAAGCCTGTGCTGACTCTGTAATGTTTGCATCAAACTGCATGAAAGAAACAGGCCTGCTTTTTAAGTCAGGGAAAGGAGTATTTTTAGTCGCACAACTGAAATAGCTCAACCTTGGCAATTATTTGGAAGACTTCTACAGAGAAGCCCCAAAGGCTTCTTTTTTTTTTTTTTTTCAACGTTTTAAGGCTAATGTTGCAGAATGACTGAATTCTACCTTTTGTAAATAATCCTTAATCATAATTCTCCAGGAAAGAGCTACCTGGAATAGGATTAAAGTTAAAAATATCAGCAATATGCTAAAAGAAGGAAGTATAAAAATAATTGCATGTAAAACCAAAATAATTACAAGGATAGGATAACTATCCCAAGCCAAACATACATCCAGGAACTAGGTGGTGAGCTGACCCTCTAAAGAATTCCAGACATGCTGATTTACAGGCATCCAGTCAAAATACAGAAGGTGCCTGAGGATGCTGGTACCCTGGCAGAGAGCGAGGGCTTGCGGCTGTGTCCTCTGCTTTCCACCCAGCCTCTGGGTGGCTGGCCACGCTGCTCCTGAGCGAGCTACCATAGCTTTGGTTTGCTGGTAGACCTTGCGGCGCTGTGGCACATCTCCATCAGATCAACGCACATCCTGCTTTGCTGGTGGATAGCTCTTTACAAACACGTAGTCACTGCTAGTACAGCCAAAGATTGTAATTCCTGTGGCAACATCATTTAATCCTAGTAGTTTGGCAGCTGTTTTCGGTGTGGCTCAGCCACCCAAGTTGGAAGGGCAAGGAA